GATGGTTCTATTCCAATGTTTCTAAGGAAACTCCTTACTACTTTCCAGATCAGTTGCACCAGTTTGCAGTCCCAACAGCAATGTATGAGTGTGCCTTTTCCTGCACAACCTCAACACTTATTATTGTTTGTATTCTTTATAAATGACATTCTGACTGGAGTGAGATGAAATAATAGAGTAGTTTTGATTTGCATTTCTCTAATCACTAGAGATGTTGAACATTTTTTATATATTTGTTGGTTGATTGTATTTATTCTTCTGTGAAGTCTCTGTTCAGTTTCTTAGCCCATTTATTGATAGGGTTTTGTTTTCTTGGTGTTAAATTTTTTAAATTCATTATATATCCTGGCGATTAGTGCTCTATTTGATGTGTGTATGATAAAGATTTTCTCCTGTTCTGTAGGCTCTCTCTTCACATTGTTGTTTCTTTTGCTGAGAAGAAGCTTTTTAGTTTGAATCCATCTCATTTATTGACTCTTGATTTTTTTTCATGCGCTTGTAACTGCATGGACAGCCAACAGCTATCTTATAATTTCTCTGTTCAAAGATCTGGTAGTATTGAGAAAAGGGAAAGAAGAGGAAAGGAAGAAATACAGGAGAATATGATCTTCCAAATTTTCGTCAACATAAGTTTATTTCTCAAGATTCTTTTGTCTATAAGTGATAAAAACCCAGCTTCAACTCACTTATGCAAAAAAAAAAAGATGAATTAGTCCTTCATATAATTTGGCTAGTTCAGGTAATGTTGAATTCAGGTACTCAAATGATTTTGAGAAGAAACTGACTTTTGCATTTCTTGACTCTTCTGTCTTGAGGGTTCATTCTAGGGAGGTATATCAGACAGCTTTCATTACATGACAAAATCCATGTGATAATCAACTTAAATAAGGATTTATTTTGGCTCAATGTCTACAATTGTTTGAGCCCATTGTTAATGAACCTGTGGTGAGGGAGAATGTTGTGCTGGGGAGCACATGGTGGAGTACAGCAGCTTGGAAGGAAAAATAAATAAATAAAAGTAGGGGGTGTCTTCATGGACCTTTCAAAGTCACCTCCCAGTGATTGGCTTCTGACTAAAGCCCCACCTCCTAAAATTTCTTCCACCTCCCAATAGCCCATTCATCCATGAATTCCTCAATAAATTGGTCCATTCATGAAATGAGAACCTTCATGATCTCATCACCTTCTAAAGGTCACAACTGTGAACACCACAGCATTGGGGATCAAACTTTCAACACATGATCTTTTGGACGACATTTTTATTCCAAACCATAACAGGAAGACTTTCCCAAGTAATGGAAAAAAATAAAAATGGTCATGAGCAACTTATTTCAGATTCACATTCCATAACCTTAGAATTATATCAAAATACCTTAATTGTGGGGAATAATTGGAAGAGACAATCTGCATCATGAAGTCACTTGTGCTTCTGCCATAGAGGAATTAGGTACCCAGCCAGTATCAAAACACTTATTTTATTGTGGATATGTGTATGTATGTATACATATATGCACATAAGTCCCCATATATATTTAAAATATTTATTTATTTATTTATTTTCTTCCCTTATAATTTAAGTAGGAATTGGGATCTCTCCATATATATTTGGGATGAACCTTTCAATCAGTAAGTATTGTAGAACACAGGCAATTCTTTTTTTCTTCTTCTAGGCAGTCAGACACAGTTCCTTTAAAACATAAATTTGGCCAGACACAGTGGTACAGGTCCATAATTCCAGAAGCTCAGGAGACTGAGGCAGGAGGATCCCAAGTTCAAAGCCACCCTCAGTAACATAGTGAGGCCCTAAGCAACTTAGCAAGACGTCTCTAAATAAAAAAATAAAAAGTGTTGGAATATGACTTAGTAGTTAAGTACCCATGAGTTCAATCCCTGGTACCAAAAAAAAAAAAAAGAATTTTTCAATGAACCCATATTGTGTTTATAGAAACCTAGAGAATCTCTGAATCTTTGTCCTTTATATATTATAAGTTTTAGATAAATGTAACAATGTTTACTATAATTTAATCTTGATAATATACTTCTATGTACATACAATTCACCAGAAACATTATTTTCATAGCTTCCTTTGTTTCATGGATGTGTTAATGAACATACCCATTTATATTTGTTAATAAAATGCATAGACTTTTTTTGAAGATTGAATTCCTTTCTATGTTTTATAAACTGGCACAGGAATCATATTCCACAAGAAGGCTAGTAAATTCAGTACACTCTGAGGCACATCTATCACCTCACTATCTTCATAGAAAATGAACAGATTTTATTTTTGTTAAACACAAATTTATTTTCTCTTCAAGTAAAGAATGTTGTGTTCATAGTAGAAGGTTTTTGGGGTAATTTAAAACCAACAATTCACTGTAAGGATTTTCCTGTTGTTAATTAAAAAAAAAAACTACTCTTCTTTATAATGTGGGAATCTGTGAATCATAGAGCCTATCTGTACATGCCATTCCATGGGTTGTAAACTCAATTATAAAAGTTCATGTGTGTTCCTGGATGAAAAATAGAGACTGCTCAAAAGTGACTCCCAGACTTAGATTATGAATTTCTGGCAAAAATATGTGTTCCTTGGGTCCCTAGTACCTGACAGCATCGAGCTTCAGCAGCTAAACAGGCTGTAAAGCTGATTCTGAGATAAGCAATTATTTTCTCTCATATACGAGATAACAGGAATTAACTATTAACAAGTTCAGCACACTGGAGAGAGTGCTGGTCCACATTTCTTCCAGTGTGATATCATTAGACACTTGCTAAAATGGGAATAAAAAAGTTTTGATTACACACATTTAAAAAAATCTTCAGGACTATACTACATGCGTGTATTAAATATTAAGAAAGATATTCTAAGAAAAGAAATTGTATCTCAAGATATGCTATTTCCTTGACTTAAGAAAATCACATCATGTAGTAGATAGTCTGAAATATTGTAACAAACAACATGTTAATAGAAACCTGTTTTACAAAAAAAAAATTACTATTGCTATACAAGATAATGTCCCATCTCTAACCAATAAAATTAACTAGGGTTCAAAAGCAAGAAAATGTCCACATTAAGAGACTCTAATGAATATGCCATATAATAATTAGCCCTCTAAAATTAACAAATAAACTCTTGACTTTTCTGTTTCTGCACTGTCTTTTGTCTAAGAACATGCAATGAATAAAGCAATACACATTTTAAGTAAGAAGGAATGAACAAATATATCTCTTCTTTCCTTTCTTCAATGGCTGAAGAAAGAAACAAATGCCCATAGAGATGTGGGCACAAAGATCACATCCAGACCTGGCTGTTTTCCAGTCCAAGTGCTTTGTATACTGGAATTGACTTTGCTGTGTGAGCTTCACTCTGCATTTCTGGGATAGGGAAAGTGTCTTTCCCAGTTGTACATGGTAAGCAGTGCATAATTAATTATTGAACCACACCTTTCATCAGCATTCAGACTGTAACTATCCCTATGCCATGATACTCATGGGTTAGAGCACTTAAAGGTATACTCAATACCTAAAGTTGTTCTCACTTTGACTGGATACCTCAGTACTACCACTACCACAAATATCACATGGAATATCTGGGCAGGGCATACTTGCAGATAAGTGGGTGAAATTAAAAGGTTATACAAGTCTTTTATTCTCAAACTCCAGTAATAGGATACTATAAGGCATTTCTAGTTCTGTTCCATTTTGGATGGAGATAAATTGGCTGTAAATGCTCTTTGAAAAAATATGTCAAAAGATAATAGAAGAACCTTTCTAGAAATATGAAAATATCATTAGATAAAATGCAGTCTACAAGAATCCAGGAGTTCCTGATTTCTTACTTCTGATGAAAAATGGGTGAACAAATCCATGCCTAAAGACAGACTTCTCACATCTGCATGTGTAAACATGTTCCTTGGAAATGATAAAGTCTCTTGTGGCACAAAGAACACCTTTATCCATATGAAGGAAAAGGAAAACTCAATCCAGTATGATATTTCAGGAGACAATGGAATCAATTATTTAATTCCAATATTTTCAGATGTATGCATTTTTTTGGAGCAAATATCCTTTTATTGCATTGTTGGTGGCCCTTGGGTTGTTATTTTGTTTTTGTTTTGTTTTGTTTTTTGATACTGGAAATTTAACCCAGGGGGTACTCAAACATTGAGACACATCTCCAGTTCTTTTCAATTGGTTTTTATTGTTGTTGTTGTTGTTGTTTAGAGACAGGGTCTCACTAAGTTGCTTAGGGCCTCACTAAATTGCTGTGGCTGGCCTTCTCCTGCCTTAGCTTCCCTAGCCACTGGGACTACAGGCGTGCCTTGGTGTTAGTTGGTTAAATTGGGTAAGAAAAAGCTATGTATGACAGTATTCGGCTCCAGAGAAAGGCCTTGAATGCCCACATCTGCTCTGATTTTTGACAGTGGCAACTGAGATCCTCCTGCCCAACCTCACCTGAGCTTTTCTACCAAAGACTGACATAACCACCACCCAGAATGAGACTGCAACTCCACAGCAAACTCACCCAGAAACTTATACTCCTTACTGTTTCCCCAGTGCCTCACTGCAAAGCAAGAGACCCAGATCCATTTCTCTAGATCTGGTTAAATAATATTTGCACTTTTGTTGGAAAAGTGGCCCCTCGTGGGCAATTATTTCACATGTCTTTGAGTTTTACAATTTAATGTGAAACAGTAACTTTGTGTCTCCCTTTTCTCCTCCCTCCTCCCGCCTATTTGGAGCCCCTTTCCAACCAACCCCCAACTTCTCCTCCCAGTCAGACTCTGAAGTGTCACTCACAGTGTTGGTTTTTTTTCTTTTCTTTTCTCCCCCCCCCCTTTTTTTTTTCTTTTTTCTTCCAACAGTTTCCAAAACAAACACTGGAGGCTGTGACGGATCCTGTATTCACTCTGGGATGCAACAATATCTCCCAATCCCAGCGGCCTGAGCCGCCATTGGCGGCAGGTCCGTTCCCTAAAACGCCAGCGTTTGCCAATCTCTGCGCTCTGCCAGGTCCTGTAATCAGGGATTTGAGGACTGATGGTCCGCACGTGTCCACAGAGAGGGAGGAGACTGCTAAAGGAAGGAGGACTAGGCTTGGGAGGATTTAGATTCCAGTTTAATCTGCATTTCTTTTCATTTTGTCTATTTGAAGAAAAAATATATATGTATATATAAAATTACACACACACCCACACACACGCTCTCTCGCGCGCGCAGGATCAAATTGTTTTTTGGATTTGGGATATTTTCAATTTTCCCTTCCTAGACTATCATCAGCTCCCTCCCTATTTCCCTCACCTCGCTAACCCAGCGCAGGTTGAAACTTTGCGGTGCACAGTCACTTCGTGCCCTTCAGGGATGGCTCTGAGCTCTCGGGCGCACGCCTTCTCCGTGGAAGCCTTGGTGGGGAGATCTGGCAAAAGAAAATCTCAAGACCCAAGACAGGAGCCACAGTCAGAGCTGCAGGAGAAAGAGGGCGGAGAGGAAGAGGAGGAGAGAAGAAGCAGCGCTGCTGCTAAGAAGAATGAGCAGCCGGGTGAGTACCCCTATGCAACCCCATTTCACTGAGACCGCCCCCCCCACCCCGTGCTCCTTGGACCAGTGTCCCTCAGCCTAGTTAGCCGCGCTGTGGGAGAGCCGCTAAACATAACCAAGGATGTCCTGGCCAGCCCTACAGCCCTGCTGTGAGCCATTGAACTCCTTGTCCAGCTGACCACAGACAAAGTTTTAGACTCCGTGATTCCCTTTTCCTTTTCAGGGAACGGGAGGGTCCCATAGACTTGTGGAAAAGTGAGACTCGCAAACCTCTTACCAAACCCTAAGAGCCAGAGGTTGTTCCTGGCAGTAGGAAGCTCTGTGCGCTCAGAAATCCTGAGGGGATCCAGCCTCAGATATGAACTTTTCCTGGAGGGCGATGAACTTCGAATCTAAAGGGCTGCGTCTTTTGCGGGATGCAGCCTGGATCTCTCTCTTAATTGTGGAACTCCAAAAGTTGTTGTGTGGAGTCGAGATCTGCTACTAGGGTTCCTGGGGAAGGAACTGGGGCTGTCTTTTCCAAGATTGGCGCCTGAGAGAAGGGCATACACAACCCTCAAAGTTCTCTCAATCCCTGGGTGTCTCTGTGATCAGCAGAAAAACGACTCAAGACAGAATCTTTAACAACTGCCTTCTCGGGCTGTGGAGGTGATGTTGGTGGAGGCAGGGGCAGCCGTGGCGTTGTTGGCAGTAGCGGCGGCAGCAGGGAAGGAAAGGGCGATGGCAACAGTCCTGAAAGTCTGGAAGAAAAGGATGTTATTCAAGTGGAACTTCAAGGATCTGAGCTGTGGAAGAGATTCCATGACATCGGGACTGAGATGATCATTACCAAGGCCGGCAGGTTAGGCTTTGACCAAGCTTTTCATAATATTCATTCAGAGTAGGACTTCAATGTAACCCTCTCCTTATGTGTGGAGGCTCTGATTTTGTGCTCTGGTGCTCTTTCCTCTCCCGCTTCCTTGGCATACATTAGAAAGCAGCCACAGGCTCTTCAATCTATTGGGCTAAGACAAACCTTGCCCAAGATAAATGACTCGGTTTTCCTTTCTCCTACATGAGGCAGGTGCCAAATGTCAAACCCAAGTCTCAGGCTATGGTCAAACCTCTGAATTTAAGCCTCACAAACCAGTGGAAAATATTCCATTTAATAAGCCCCCAAGGCTACCACCCTTGGTCCAAGCCATTGTGAGGTAGATCTTTCCTCACATTTTGGTGTGGGGCAGCCCCTTATAGCAGCTGACTGATTTTTTTTTATGAGTCTATTAAATTTTAGCTTTTCCCAAATCTGCCACGCAGAACTTACTGCTGAAAACTCAGGGGATGAACAGAACTTTTTCTCCTTTTTCTTTCATAGATTTTTATTATGGTGTGGGGCGGGGGGAGTCATGGATAAAGACTTATGTAAAGGATATTCTGCTCTATTCAGAAATCCTAGACTTGTTAAATTAACCATATAACCAACAATCTTTTCGAAACTGTCATGGAATGGCAAGGGTATCATGAGTCCTTTCACTTTTCAGTGACATGCATATTTGTTCATGACTTCCCCCTTTCCAAAATATTTGAAAGTAACTAGGTTAATGTCTTTTTTATTTCTCACAGGCGGATGTTCCCTTCTGTTCGGGTCAAGGTGAAAGGGCTGGACCCAGGGAAGCAGTATTATGTTGCCATAGATGTGGTACCAGTGGATTCCAAACGCTATAGGTAACCGGCCCAAATGAGGATACCTTAGGCTCAGCCTGGGTGCAGGGATTAAGATCTTCAGATCTAAACCTCACAACATTATTTTAAAAACCTTAACATATAGGGAGAGAGAATGGACCTTCCTTTGATCTCAAGAGTAGAATTTCCCTTACTTAAATGGGAATTCAGAGTAACTGAAGAGCAGGGTTTTTTCTTCTCCCTTCTTTTGAAATGCAGGCAAGCCAATTGTTAATGTCCCCCAGGCCTCTATCCTACCCACTGTTCTGGCCTCAGGTACACAAACTGTGAAGGGCATGGGCTCTGTTGTCCAAAAAGGAAGTAGTTTGAAGGAATATGGAAGCCCTTTTGGCTCTAGGTGGGCCCAGGCTTCTGAGGACATGCTAGACTTTGGCAAAAGGCACCCAGAATTATAACCTGATTTTCTCCAAGGCTAGATGAGGGTCATCACACCTAGGTACATCTTCATTCCCTTCTTTAGCCCTTTTCTTGAAAGGGTGGCCACATTCCAGAGGGCAAGAGAAAACTTTTTACCCTCTTTTCTTTAAGTATTCCTCTAAGACCTTGCTACAAATGGTCAAACTATTCTAAAGTCAATAGGATCTTCTAAGCTAGCAGCCCAGATGCACTAGCCTATGGCTTTGACTCAAGGACCCTAGCGGGGTTGGGGAGGGAACTGGGAGAGAGCAGCTGATACTGGGCTGTGAGTGTTCTACCTGGAGGTGGGTGCAGAACCCTGCCCTCCAAAGAGAACAACTGCCAGGAACCCAGTGCTGTTCTTGAGAGCAAGGAGAAAGTGAAACTCTCAGATGCTGGAACTGTGGCTTGGTAACAGCAGAACAAACTGCTTGTTTTTGCATTGAAGTTGGTCTGGGAATACAGAGCATTATTGAGAGTTTGTGATTAAAAACTGGGTGAAAATCTGCCCCCAGAGGCTGCTCAGGGTGGGGTTCCTAAGGGTTTCCTGGTGTGAAGCCTTATTGTCAAAGGGGGTTCCACTAAGACTAGTAACAGTGGGCTAGACAGACACCCTGCTTAATCCCCACTTCTTTCTGATACTTATAGCCCTAAGCTTCTGGAGTTTGCGCCCCTCCCTGCACCCCCAGGCATTTCTGCATGGTAAAACTCATTTTATCAATTTCTGTTGTTTTTTCTGTGAGGAAACATAAACTAGACTGGTAAATCCCATGACATTTTACTCCCCTTGGCATTCCATCACATTTTAATAACATATGTTTATTTACTGTTTGTTTTCTGCCCTTTAACACTTTTTGGAAATCAGTGTTGATCTTCTGTTATTTGCCTATGGAGTCAGCAGATTAGCCTTTGGCCAGGCCCTTAGGACCAGAATTCATCAGCTTGCCTCCATTCAATTGGCTTTAGCAGGCTAAGCTTAATGCCAGTATTCTGCGCCTTTTCAGATATGTGTATCACAGCTCTCAGTGGATGGTAGCTGGGAATACTGACCATTCGTGCATCACTCCCAGATTCTATGTCCACCCGGACTCCCCCTGCTCAGGAGAGACCTGGATGCGGCAAATCATCAGCTTTGATCGGGTGAAACTCACAAATAATGAGATGGACGACAAAGGCCATGTAAGTGAACACAATTCTACCTGCTAAAGAGAGTGGTGCCAATGCTTCCACCCATGGGTGGAACTGTCTATAAGCTCTGGACCTGTGACTTAAAGAGCCAAACTAGAGTTCAGGAAACTTTTGTTTGAAAACCGAAAGTGCTGGCCTTTGGGAATAATGAGAGCAGGGAGTTTGAAGACCAAAAGAGAGTTATTTAAGCCAGAATTGCCTGGTCTGAAAGAGCAAGAGGAAAGGGGCTGTTAGATAGTTGGCCACAGGAGGAGCAATCACTGTTGGTGCTTGCCTTCCCTGTAGTCAACAGAGTTGCTAGATGAGTACTTTCCATGTGATGTGGTGGGAGGATGCAAGCAGGGGAACTGGAATGCAGACTGGAAATCTCACCTACAATCTGCTCCCATAGACAGTCCTTGCCAGTTTTCAGGTCCTATGGATCTTAAGTCTTCATCTTTTCTGCCTAGCTGGCCCTATGCCAGCCACAAAAGGAGAGGAGCAAGATCCAGAATGAGAGAGAGGGGAGGGGGAGGGAGGGAGAGAGAACTATCCAGAATTATAAGGTGGTAAGTGTCAGATGTTTGCCCATCATATTCAGGCCATCAGTTACTGTACAGGGAACCTGTATCAGGTGATCAAATCCCTATGACTATATTTCTACCACACATGGTCAGCCACATTTGGAAACAGGGGCCCCAATCTGGAAAAGGAATAACAGTTGTCTGGTGTCTATAAGGTGTTTACTCTGGAAACTCTTCAGGCAAGAGGTTATCTATAGGGGACCAAATGGCATAACAAATCTTTGTGTATGGTTACCTGACTCTCCCAGTTTAACCTTACCTCTTTCTTTGTGTGTGACCACATTGGGGGTGGTCCTTAGAGGACAACTATGTTGCGAAGGGAAGCCAGTTTTTCTGGCAGCATTTGACCATTTCTCCCTCAGATAATTCTGCAGTCCATGCATAAATACAAGCCCCGCGTGCATGTGATGGAGCAAGACAGCAGAGTTGACCTGTCCCGGATTCAGTCCCTGCCAGCTGAAGGGGTTAAAACGTTCTCCTTTAAAGAAACTGAATTCACCACAGTGACAGCTTACCAAAATCAGCAGGTAAAGGTGGCCAGGTCCCAGGCAAGTGGGAGTGGCCTCACTGGGACTTTGGGATAGAGGCAAGCTGCACTCTATAAATTGCTTTATAAAAATTTTTAAAAATCATGGTTTTACTGTTTTGTCAGTAAGTCAAATTGATAATACATTCTGTGATTCTTACATTAGAAAGGAGAAAAGATAAAAGGGGTGGCAGAAGATGAAGGCATAATCATTCAAAAATTTGACTTAGCTATATGCTTACATTTACTTACAGTGATATATTATAGGTTACAGTCTTGTATGGTTATTATAACCATTATAAGCAATGGCGAGAGAACTGAGGTTACTGAGAGCACTGACTTTCTCTTTCTCTTTCTTTTGAATCCATAGATTACAAAACTTAAAATAGACAGAAATCCTTTTGCTAAAGGTTTTAGAGATCCAGGAAGAAACAGGTAAGTAACAATCACACCTTATATTTATGTAGCCCTTTTCACAAGTATAAAAGATAAGGAAACTGTGGCTCAGAGAATCAGAAGCTGTATGTTTTGTGACTAGTGGGTGGGAGGAAATTAACCAGATATTTTGTCTCAAAAATTTTGCTTATTCCTACTTTCTTTTTTATCCACTTATAAGCTATTTATTATTCTAGAACTCTGGGTTTGATTGAATATTATTCAAAAGTCTACCCATAAAAGAAAAAAATTCAGAAAATTGCCTATAAAAGATGTAAATAGTTTGTATAAATTAGTATTTTCTAGAACTGCATTCTGAGGTCGATAAAAGTTGAATCTCTTTTTTAGGGGTGTATTGGATGGACTTTTAGAGACCTATTCATGGAGACCTTCTCTTACTCTGGATTTTAAAAACTTTGGTGCAGACACACAAAGTAAGAAAAATCATAATATTTAGTTTTACTTTTACATGTTAATGAAATAACAACAGCCAGAGCCCTTGTACCAAATATTACACTGGGAATAAGTATATGCCAGAAAATGTTTGTTTATAAGCATACGTGTTTATGTTTAATGTGGTGAGGAAGAAAGATGAAAAAAGGGAAGACAACTGGCATGAAGACAGCTGTTTTCTTGAGTTATTTTATACTCTTATCACCAGAGCTCACCTGGATTCTTCAGCATCTCATTGTCTCATATTTAGGATCTGCCTATGGTCCATTTGTGATCTGATTTGTAACTATAGTAATGAATATTTTTATATTTTATGGGAACTTTTCAGTGCATGTTAAAGTGATTTCTTTTGAATTACACCATCATATAGCTCTAATTTTACTTTTTTAAACAGGAAAAATAAATGTTGAAAATAAAACTAAGTCATCCTAAATGGTATATTTATTTTTTTAAAAAACTTTGGTGCAGGCACACAAAGTAATTGGATAGACTTTAGATTTTTTACAGATTTTTTTTTTAGTTCTCAATGGACCTTTAACTTATTTATTTATATGTGGTGCTAAGAATCGAACCCAGTGCCTCACACATGCTAGGCAAGTACTCTGCCACTGAGCTACAACCCCAGCCCCAATATATTTATTTTTATTGAGTAAAAGTATATTTTGCCTTATTTTCAAGCTTTTAAAAAAGTTATTGAAGAATGTATGCAAGATAATAACAATGTACTGAAGGTTTTAACAGAAAATAGATTGTATAATAAACATGGTACAAAAGATGGGAAGTAAAAAATGCAAGCTACTATAACATTTTATCCTTGAAGTGATAAACTATAATTCAAAGATGAATAATATAAATATAAAACAAACAAACTGTTACAAAAGTCATACAAAAGTAGGATAAGGGCTGAATCTGTATGGTAAAATTTTGCCTATTTTATTAATTTTTAATCTTTGAAGTTTTTAACTGATACATGAAAACAAAATTTGTATTTTTAGGAGGCACCAAACAATATTTTGATACATATATACATTTCATAGTATTTAAGTCAATTTAAACATTTATGTCTGTAAATATTTATCATTTCAACATGGTGATAATATACAAAATATTTTCCTCTAGCTTTCTGAAATGCTTAGTGCATTATTGCTATTTGTCATTAAACTGTGTAATAGCACAACAGAACTTCCTGGTCTTACTTAATTATAACTACCTTCCAGATAGTACATTTCTTGACTAAATAACTATAATGTTTGAAAAATGCAGGTTTTCTGGTAAAATAATGTATGCCTTCCTTTACAATGATATTTAATAATAAATGAAGAATTTTTAATTGCAAGCAGCATGGAATTTCCCCATTACCTTTACTCCATTGAAGCTGCTTATCTTTAAATATTAATTCAAAGTTAGATTTATGGAGCAAATTAACAACCTCATACTTAAGTTGCATTTTCCAGGACAGGATGCCATAAAAATTAATTAAAATGTGAACAAATCAAGTTTAATCAATTGTTGAATCATTTCATTGGCTTGACTATACAAATGTGGATTATGAAGATGCATAGATAAAATATAAAATATTTTTACATTATCAATTTAACTGATAACATCTAGGCAACAAGCTTTTAAAATATCTAAGTCAACACATTGTGAAATAATGAAGAAGAAAGTTTAACATGATCATTCATTTATAATTTAAGAGATAGAGGCTTCTTAATCATTCATTTCAGGTACCCAAAAGGTACTCAAATTGCAAAGATAAAGAATATCACCCAGGGTCATTTTATTTTATTTTATTGATTTAAAAAATTAATGACAGCAGAATGCATTATAATTCTTATTACACATATACAGCACAATTTTTTATGTCTCTGGTTGTATATAAAGTATATTGACACCAATTCGTGTCTTCATACATGTACTTTGGATAATGATGTCTATCACATTCCATCATCCTTGCTAACCCCCTGCCCTCTCCCTTTCCCTCCCACCTCTCTGCCTTAGATGAACCCAGGGATATTTTATCACTGGACCTCATCTGCAGTTTTTGTTTGTTTGTTTTTAGAGAGGGTCTCGCCAAGTTGCTTAGGGCCTTATTAAGTTGCTGAGACTGGCTCTAAATTTGCCATTCTTCTGTCACAGCCTGATAAGTTTTAATATTTTATTTAAAATATATTTTCCAACCTGTTGATGAAAGATTAGACTATATCTACATATACAATATAGTTAAAAAATAACAGCAACATAAAAATAACTTCCTTAAGTCTAGTGAATATCCAACTGTTCAGCTGAATTAAAATAAGATTTAGAGTCTAGATCATCCTGGACCTTTTAATTTTTCCTAAATTTAGTATATGCTAGGCAACCATAAATTTAGTATATGCTGGACATCATTTATCTGAATTCTTTCATTCTCATGTTGATGTTTCTTAACTGGAAAAATTATCTTTAACCCCTGGTATAGTGAGCAACAGAAGCATTATCATCCATGATTTTCATGAGAAAAAAAATACTAATGGTTTTACATATGTTGCTTTTACTTATGAAAGATTTTTTTCATATGAATTTATATTTATCAGACTGAAGATGCCTATAGAATCCCAAAGAACCAACTTGTTCAATTTACTTAACAATTTTTTAGTACATTTTTTAAATGTGAAAAATAAAAATCCAGGTTTTGTTCATATTATTGACTCTGAATTATATATTTGGCTGTATTTGTAATTCATTAGATAAATATTGTTAAAGTGTCTTGTACAGTCCTTGAGAATAGTGAATGTTCAGTACACAATACACAATAGTAGTGTTAAAAGTAATAGTGGTGGGCTGGGATTATGGCTCAGTAGTAGAGGGCTTACCTAGAATAGGTGAGGCACTGGGTTCAATCCTCAGCACCACATTAATAAATAAATAAAATAGAGGCTAAATTCTTTAAAAAAAAAAAAAAAGTAATGGTGGTAATAGTAGAGACATTACATTCAACTTCAGTGGAGGAATGAGCACAACCTTTCCCAAAGAAGCTCAAAGAACTATAAACTTGCAGGAAAACTGATCTAAGAATGAAGCATGAATGGTGATGTATTTGATCAGTAATTTAGCAAGAACATGAAGTTCTTTGTTCATTGACTGAATTGTCTTTCACAGGTGGAAGCAGTGGCTCTTCTCCAGTGACCTCTAGTGGAGGGGCTCCCTCCCCTTTGAGCTCCTTACTTTCTCCACCTTGCTCTCCACCTACATTTCACTTACCTACAAGCTCCCTTGGAATGACCTGTCCAGAGGCATACCTACACAGTATCAACCTGCCCCTTTGCTATAAGATTTGCCCAACTAATTTTTGGCGACAGCAACCTCTTGTCTTACCTGCTTCTGAAAGGCTAGCAAGCAGCAACAGATCTCAATCTTTAGCCCCACTCAAGATGGAAGTGCCCATGTTATCTTCTCTGGGGGTCACCAATTCAAAAGGTGGTTCCTCTGAAGACTTCAATGGGCAGTGTCTACATGCACCTCATTCTGCCAATCAAATGTTATATGGATTGCAGGCATCTGGAAATATGTTCCCACCAACCCCCATCACTCAAGAGGTACTCAGTTGCTCTTTCCGCCCTTCCTATGGCTTTTATAGGTATAACTTCTCTATGCCATCTAGACTGGTAAACGCTGCCAACCACCTCAAAGCAAGTGACAACAGTCAAGTCTCTTTCAGAGAAGGCAAATGTAATCATGCTCATTGGTATCCAACAATCAACCATTGCCTTTAATGGAACAATCACATTTTAATACAATTTCCATGTAAGCACACATTTTCTTTATTTGTAACCAAAGAAAGGTCAACATCTGTTATGTTTTCAAAAACTTCATTACCAGACAACTTTGCTTTGTTATACATTTAAAGTGCCTTATCAAATCTTTATAAGACAATGTTTATGCAAATGTGACCTATAATAAACTCTGATTATAGAAGCCTTGGGCCTCAAAATAAGGTTCTCAGTAAATATTATTTGATAAAATATCCCATCAGTGAAAATTGTTGTCAGATGGTATGGTCTCCAATTATACAATAGCCAGCTTACCATGCCATCTGCCATTTGCATATTGATAATGACCAATAGAAGAATGGAATTACTGTGAAAGTGTGAAACAGTTATCTGTGAAGATCGGCTGCATTGTATTTATCTAGCTAGTTATTATAGAAGAAATTTTAATTGTTTGCTTTATTTTGCTCTATACCTTTATACTATGCTGTTGAAGAAAATATTAATCTCAATTTTGAAGTGCAAATAAGGACACAAACTTTCAAGTGTAACTTTTATTAATCTTTGTAGCTAAGCAACTATTTAATTCTGAAGGAACACAAAGATCAAATGAAAAGTAAAGTATTCTAAATAAATTTGATCTTTTATTTCCTTTTAGTTTTGGATCATTTATATATGAAGTTTATTTAGTTAATCCATTAAAAACCTGGTATTTTATACATTGTTTGCAAAGACAAATTATTTCAATTCTCCAAGAAGACTAAGATATTATTATCAAAGAGGGAAAACACAATTGAATTCATAAATATGAAAATAGAGTCATAGGTACAATTTAATTCCAATATTTGTATCAGTTATGGTAAGTTAGACTAGACAAAATGGATAGTAAGACTTTTTTTTAGTTTATGAAATCAAATAGTTTCCCTTCACCAGACCTTAGATTTCTGAAAGTAATTATGAGGAATATCCTACAATAACCTGTATATCTTTAAGATCAATCAGATTTTAAATTTTCACCAGTAGTTCTAGCCATTTTATAAGCCAAGGCCATTCAAGTCACAATAGCACGATTTGACTTTTGACACACTAATCAATCTGCTAAACTGGCTTTTACTAGCTTTTTCAAGACATATTAGTAAGAACATAATTATTACATAATTATTATTTATTTTGTTCAAAGTGTTACTTCATCCTCAAAATGCCTTATAAATTTGCCTTCCTATTAAAATTATATATGCTTCACTCCTGGAGATCTGGCTAGAAAAGCACATGATTGCATTCAAACCACATATTCTGATAAAAATGAAATATTACTTGTGGTTTAAACTAAATAGAGACCTATTACAGGACTTTGAGTCATTAAAAATATGTATTATTTCTCTTGATTAACAGGGATTAAAAGCAATGGGGACACTTTAGTTTTGTCTACTACAAAATATGAAGGTTATATGCTAACTTTAATTAGTAAAATTAATTATGACTTCAGTAGAAGCTGCCATATCAGATTCTAAAATACTTATCCCGAGTTCCTACATGAGAGAACCTCAGTACTGGCCAAGAGAAAATATTTAACTGAAAAATCCAGAAAATCTCTGGGTTACCTTGATTATTTAAGAGAACGTATTAATTTTGTGGCTGCTCCAGAGTACTTTTACCCTATGTTTTATATTTCATAAAATTTTCAGACATTCTTCACATAAAACCAGTAATATGGAATTATATTAGTAATGATGATTAATAGAAAGAAGCAAAAGCTTAAATTCTAGAACCTAAGCATTTATGTTGTCATTATACATATGGTAATAAATTATCATTTTACAATTTTAATTGAAGAAGTGACCAAAGAAAAGCCTTCATAGAACACAAGAAACCTCAAGAAGTGCAATCAGCAGCCCTCTTCTGAGAAAATTTTTCATTAGCAGAAATCAGCTAACACCTCTAATTCAAGCATACAAATATTTAATGCTCTTACCATTTTCTGTAAAATAAATTCTAACTAATTGAAAGATGGTGCAAAACCCATGTAAGTTAGTAAATTGTCGTCATAGATACGGAATAAAAACTAGAAATTCTTCCACTTTTAACTGGCTCAACTAAATTTTAAGCTTGCTTTTAAAACTTACAAAAATCAAAAGCCACTCTGGTTACACAAAATATGAAATTGTTGGTCAATGAAGGTGACCAAATAATACTTAATAGACTTCAATTCATTTTTGACTTTTTAAATGATACATATATGTGTGTCCCCTTTAAAAGAGAATATATTAATTCAGCAGACTAAATTTATAAATCTGGTTCTTTTAATTTTTTTTTTAAATTTAGAGACAGGGTCTTTTTGAGTGCTAAGTGCCTCACTCTTCTGCTGAGGCTGTCTTTGAACTCACTATGCTTCTGCCTCACCCACCCAAATTGCTGGGATTGCAGGTGTGCACTACCTCACCCCATTTATGAATCTGATACTTAATCTTACCTGGTTATAAGACTTACTCCAAAAAACTTGGAAAAAATAAATTTTTCATCAAATGAAAATTTGCATGTTAATTCAGGAAATAAGTAAATGTTACTTGATACTTGCATAGTTTTTAATCAAGCTCAGACCTGCTAAGATTAAGGAATCAAGAAGGTATCATTTTGTAGAACAATCAGTCATGCTGAAATCTAAGTCTTAAAGTTTGAGTCTGATTGCAGAATATGTATAAATGGATAAATTCTCTATTCATAACATTTTAAAAGCCAATATATAACCTTAGGTAACATAACTTAGAACATTGAACTTTTCAATACTATCATTTCTTGCCACTGTGCAGAGTATCTAAACCTTCTAAACATTACGTTTTAAGTTCAAAATATAACTAGGAGACACAATATTAGAAACTTCAAATTCATTAATATCATTGCTCCTTTTTACTGCACCACAAAATGAAAGAGGTTTATTTTACCCAAGCTATGAAGGGAGATGTTCATAATATTTCACTGCTGTTAGGTATAGGTTCTACCCATGGTCCAGGAATGAACATGGTTTCACTCTGTTGTGAGTTTGAAGCATATCTGTGGCATGAAAACAAATGAACTATTAGGATCCACAAGTGATGAGTCAGTGAATTATCAGTTTTTGATCCATCAGAGTTCTATGTGCTGAGAACATGACAAGGTGCCAACAAGAAGTAGAGGAAAGCATATGCATTGGGCATTTTGGAGAGTTTCCTACTCATTCTCTTTATCATTTCTATTATTACATGCTTTGGGGGAAATCACAGCACACATAAATCAGGTAATGTTTAAATACCACTTTGTATATCAGTATTTCTGGCTAAGCCAGAACATGGCTGAACTAAATGTTTGTATTAATACATAAGATATATCTTACAATAGTCCACATACATACTTGTGGCAAATCTAGATGCTTTGAGATAATATGTCCATTTATACAGTAGGATAATATGCAGTGGTTGTCTCATTGCTGAATTTCACTAAGCCTTTCCATATTTGAATGTGCAATTTTATAAGTTCCAGATTCCACATTAACAATATGTGTGTATGTATGTTACTTTATCCTTGTGCGTGTGCGTACACACACACACACACACACACACACACACACACACCACATATTTCCAGAGGGTTTTTAAAAATTCTGTTTTAAAATAATTTAATCTGAGTTTTTATTGTCCCTCTCTTTTCTAAAATGAGATGCCACAAAGAGCACCTACTGATTGCATACTTACACTATGAATTATACATACATTTGTGTGGGAAGGCAGATTTAAATATACTTAGAAATGTCTAGTTGCATATACTGTACTTTGTGAACTCATTTGACAGGGCGGTAGTGTAATGTTTTTACTCCAATTTAGGGATATGCTGCTTTTGTGCTGAAAAATCTTCAACTAGCCAAAATAACCATAATATCCTGGTATACAGCAACAGTTTACCAGTTGATTTCACTGGAATTTAACATGTTTATTGGAACAGTTTTAAACAAACCAAATATATAGCTGAGGCATTGGTGGCAGTTGCTTTGATATAAGTGCCATGGTATACATTTAATCTTCTTAGGTTTGGTCTGCAATTAAATGATAATTTGTATTAAAAACTGTGTAAATAAACATGGGTTGGATGACAACATAAAACAGAACAAATAGATGTATAGAACATTCGAAACCTATCCCCTATTAAAACTATTTACATGTGTGGTGCTGGCCAAAGTTTGGCATACTGTTTCAATAAAATATTGAAAGGAAAAGGACTAGTATCATTTCCTTTCAAAGTTTCAAATATTCATGTTTACAAATTTGTACTGCACATTAATATGTAAACATGCATTATAGTGAACAGATGTATAGAGAATAGTTGCAAGATCTATTTCATTTAAATGTATATACATATCTATTGCTTTATTTTTTAAACTGCCTAAAAGAGTTATAGCATTTAAAGTCAATTATCATAGAACATCTTGAAATTACAATAAATTGTATTATTAGACTTTTTACTTAAATAGTCATATTTTTTTCTTAAAGATGGCAGAAAATTAAAAAAAAATATTTTGGATTTAAGATCAGATATTAATGCATATGATAAAATATAATATCTTTGTTGTAGAAATGTTATAAATAATTCAAAAATTTTCTAGAACACAAAGGTAATAAAATCATGAGTTTGTATTGGATAAAAGCTATATCTTTGAAGGCTTTTTATTCAATACATAATTCAGTCTATCTTCCACTTTATGGTGTTTTTTTGAAAATTAATTAACTTTATTGAAAATTTGGCTGAAATTGAGTTTTCATGTTTCAATTGTGAAATTATTTTATGACCTTAACAATTACACTAATGTTTAATTATACAAGTTTTCTTCCTCATTGAATTTTGTAGATTTTAGGAAGAACAGTTTCTTAGAAACACAGATAAATAGACTGCCCTGTGAAACAGGCATGGTTTCTTAGTAAGACCCATATTGAGGGAGAAAAGTTACTCATTGCAGCACCTACACATTATATTTGGGTTTATTTAGAGGAACTCATGAACAAGCCAAACAGTGTCTGTTTGATTTATGGTTATGTTTTCCAAAACCTAGGTTATATCCTCTTCAAATCATGAGTCTACAGAAGAGAATGAACTGTTGAACAAAATATCATGACTTTGTAACCTATCACCATGATTCTTGTCTGTTCTTGTAACATTAGTGAAGCGGGAGTAGGGTGTCACATTACAAAAGCCTCTAGGAACCCAGCACCACACATGGGATTAAGATAAACTAATCTGGTGTTTTCACTCAAGGGTTGTAACCAAATTCAGCAGTTCCCTGTGTATGATGAATCACGGAAGTTGACCTGAGCCCTCGGTTAGTCAAGATACAGTGCCTTCCTGTGGGTAGTTGCTGTGTCTGCTATCAAAAACATGAAACTTCCCACACACTAATTATATTTTAGTTTAGTTCTTCATATGCATGTCTTTTCCACTAGACTATGAGTGAGGAAGAAATGGTATATTTTAAGGGTCATTTGTTTTCCAGATTTTATAAATTTATAAATGCAT